AAATTATCGCTCTTGGAATGGCAGCCACAATTGCAGTTGCTACCACTCTTGTTGCCTCCTTGACTGATGATCTGACTAATGCACAAACGAAATGTTCTCAAGCGACTGTCAAGCGTGACAACGCCCTCACGGTACATCAGACAGCACAAGCAAAGAAAGTGCAAGCCCACGCAACTCTTGATGAACAGAAGGGAATATTGCAAACGGTCACAGAGACGTGGGAACGGCAGGTAGAAGTGACGGATGCGGCTAAACAAGCAGTTGAACGTCAAACGAATGTCGTCCAGACAGCAACTACCAATCATGCTAATGTTGAACGGCAACTAGCCAAAGCGAAACAGCAACAGATAGCGAAAACCAAGGAAGTATACGAAGCCGAAACTCAACTGAACAAACAAACGGCACAAGTGGAACAGTTGAGGATCGAAGTAGTTAATCTGCAGGAAAGGCAGAAACAAACTCAACAAGCATTTACCAGAGCAGAGGAAGTAGTGAGAGAAGCTAACATAAGACGTGAGAGGGCTGGCATAAATGTCGAGACATTGAACACGCAACTTACAGCCAAACAACAAGCTATTCAAACGACAGAAAAGGCAGTTGATCAGAAACAACAACAAGTCCGAGCAATACAGGCTGAGCATGCCATCAAGCGAGAGAATGCACAAGTAGCCACAAATAAGGTGAATATAATCCAGCAAGATCTGGACTTGGCAGGCAAAACTAAAGAAGACTTAGACAAACAGATTAAAGCACAAACTGACAAGCTTGAAATCGAACGCAAAAAAAGCGAAGATTTCAAAACGGAACATCAACAACTCAAAGGAAGACTTAATGTGGCAAAGCAGCAACAAGAACAACTTGGAAAACAAATTCAAAATTTCAAAAATGAACTGAATACTCAAAATGAAGCGATGATGGAAAAAGGAATTGGAGTAGACAGAGTCGTAGCTGCTCTGGAAATTAAGAAACATCAGAGAACTCAAATCGAAATACAACGCAATGAATGTGTTGCTCATGATCAACGGGTGCAAACACAAATTTCTGATCATGTAAAAGCTTTACAAGAAAACAAAACGCATATGGATCAGGCGGAACAGAATAAGCGTCAACAAGAAGGCGCCAAACTGGTAAGGAAAATAAACATGACAACACGAAGTACATATTTTATTCGGCACTTTTCGTGTGTCAAGTTCCTTCCATTCGCGGGTTTTTCTTTGAACATAATTGAATAAGTATTCAAAAATATCCCAGTAATAATACAAAATTACCTATAAAATTTTAAAATACTTGGATTCTTGCAGTTGAAAAGCTAAGCGGGCCAAAACTTAGTGAACATCTTTTATCTTCTTTGCAGAAGACATGCTACAGAAGTGATCATCTATTATAAGCTCCTTCCCTACACAGTCAGTCATATTCGGATCGATATTTTAAAGAAAGCGAAAATGATCTTTTCCAGTCTTTCTTATATATGGTCTTTTTTGTTCTTGTTTTGACTAGGTAGTCGAAAATCGAACAACAGAAACCCAGCAACATCTCGATCAAAGTCGCAATCGATTTCAGCAAGTGACCAATAGTATTGATGTGACGGAAACGGATTATAATGAAAAACGTAGTCGACATACCCAACTTACTACTGATGTTGAACAACGTCAAAAGATGAAGGAAAGTTTGGAGAGCCGTACTCAAGACATACACAATGAATGGGTATCTAAGCAACTATGGATTACAAGTGCCACCAAAAATGTCATTGAATTGCGCGAAAATATCGGTAATATTAAATTA